GGCCGCGGGTTCCAGGTGCGACCCGTGTGCGCGCCCGCCCTCCTGCCCGCGGCTGTCCGCATGCGGGTCCTGCTCTGGAGGCGCAGCGATGCTGTCGGGCGTGTTTGGCTGGGTGTGAAGTCATGAGGCTGCGGCGCAGGGCAGGGAGCCCGGGGGGGCGAACCGAGCTCTGCGCGACCCGGCTGCTGGGGGGGACCCGGGGGCCCCCGGTCCGGCCCTGACCTGGTCTCCCTTCCCCCTGCCCAAGCTTTTCTGCCCGAGACGCGGTGCTGCTTTGGTTCTCGGCTGCCGTACAGGTGATTCTGGAGGTGCCCACGCGCGTGGTGTGGAAAGGTCGTTCACCCTCTGGAGTTCACACTGAACTTCCTCTGTTCCTCCACTGCTGCTGTTCCTAGGTTTGTTTCAGGTTTTAGTCTTCGTATCGTGCTGTTCCCCAAGTATAAATGTTGAAGAAGAACATTAGTTGTAATTGTGAGTGGGGCTCCGGTGTTAAAAATGCCCGTACAGCTTCGGTTCAGTCCATGTATTGGGTTGTTTGTTTGTTTGGGTTCTTTAATTGGCAAACAAAAGCTCTTGCTGGTCAGCAAATACAAAGGTGAATTTGCAGTTGGAATTGCCATTGCTATAAAACCTATATTGTGTTCATGTTAGAAAAAAGCTAATTCCCTCAATAAGCTTTATTTTCTCTCGATCCTGGAACCAGTATTTTTACTGTATTTTTTTCTCTCTAATTCTGCTTTGACAGATCAGGTACAACCAAGATTTCTCTCACTTTGTTCTCTTTCAGTCGTTTTAGTTGTTAACAAACTTTTTTTTTTCCTCATAGTGTAGTATGCCATAAATTATGATTTGAAATGGTATTCCTCATGCATAAATCATGAGGTCACTTATTGGATTTTGCCTCATTCAAGTTCTTTTCTTTGAATGGTTAGTTGAAAATAAATAATTCAAAGCACTTATTCCATTCTGGTAATCCCATAATAAATTTACTTCCTTGCATTTTTGCATTTTATGCCAGTCTCCTGTGGGGTAATGAGTGGTGCCGTTTTAAATTATAAGAACTCTAGTTTAGTCAGGCTCAAATTAGTATAAAAAAATCTTTTTTCAACTGTCAGGTCTGTGTTTATAAAAGCATTAGGTGACTTGGAGCCACAGCATTAATTATTAGTTTTTCATAAGAAACTATGAAAATATGTCTTATATTACAGAAACGATTTGCAAGCTCCAGAATCGCTGTCAAGGCTCTTCAGGAGCAGTGCAGATGTTCTGTAATGATCTTTGAAAAACTCACCCCAAAACTAACTGTCAGTGTTCTAGTTCTGTGTTCAAACTCATGATCAATATGCCATGTGACTGATGAAACTGTATGTCTGCACTGGTCATAAAACTTTATAAGAACCAAGTGGGTTTTGCCATTACAGTTGTTCTCATCTCCTTATTCCTGAAGAAATCCTGATTAAGGTGCGTTGCCACTCATCAGACTTTGGAAAAGAGAGGACGCTCTTTGTGGTTGACCTTGGCTGGGTGCCACTCAGCCACTCTATCACTCCCACTCCCAGCTGGACAGAGGAGGGAGGATAAGATGGAGACCAACTCATAGGTTGAGATAAAGCAGTTTACTAAAGCAAAGAAGGGACAGTTTGCACCCGCACAAGTGAAGGTTTATTTCTCTGCTTCCCATTAGCAAGCGATGGCCGGCCACATCCCGGGATGTGGGGCAGTTGCTCAGCAGGCAAACACTGTAAACAACAAATAACCCCCCCTTCCTCCTCCTTTCCTTAGCTTTTGTATCTGAGCTGACATCATATGGTATGGAATATCCCTTTGGTTGGTTTGGGTCAGCTGGCCTGGTTGTGTCCCCTCCCAGGATCTTGCTCTCGGCTGGGGAAGGAATGTTGCAGTGCTGATGCTGTGCTCAGCAGTAGCCAAAACACCAGGGTGTTATCAACACCTTTCTGGCTACCAGTGAAAAGCACAGCACTGGGAGGGCTGCTGAGGGGAAATGAGCTCCGTCTCTGCCAGATCCAATAACAGTATTGACTAACATGAGTATCCCAAACTTCTCATATGCAGCGTGATGTGTGCTAAATGCACGGGAATGGCTTCAGTCTCTGTTTTCCTCGGCCTAAAGCTTTTAGGGATGGGGGAGGACAGCTTGAAATCTTGGGCAAAAGGCTACAGCAAAATTAAGCAAACATAAATCATAATCAAGAATTAATCATCTCATCATGAGGTATTTCAAAAAAGCTGAGTATCAGGCACTCTGAAGTTCATAGGCACTGATCTCATCATGTCTTTTTTTTTAATTTCCTGTTTTTTATCAGTCTTCTATTTAAAATTTATTAGTTCTGTTATTGTAATTTGTTACTGTAGGTGAGGTTTTGACTAAATGCATTGTTTGTTTTCTAGCTGCTCACAAAACAGTGCCCTAAATTCCCCTTTTTTTTATAGAATCAATGGTAATCTTCATGAAATGGCCAACTGCCCATCACAGCTGTGCTGTGTATGCTTCACTTGCATTAAGACCAAGGTTCATTTCTTTGGGGGGATTGATTGAAAAGGCATAGTTTTTCTGTGGATTCTCAATCATATAGGAAAGATACACATCAGCAAATCTCGTATTTTCTGAAAGCAAATAGGAAATGATTTTAGCCTTTTTAGCAACAGAACCTACCTTTTGCCAGGTAATATAATATTCAAACTCACTTGCTGAAGAGGGGTAATTTTCAAAATGGGAGACAGAATAAGCTGGAGAGCATTTTTTTCCTTACCTACTCTGAGCATTTTGTTCTAGCTGAGAAGTTGTGGTTTCAGTACCAAAGCTGTCTTTTCAAGGCTTGGAAGAATAAGAAGACCAAGTTCTTCAGTCTCATGGGTGTCTAAGAATCTTCAACTGGGAGGAGAAAAGGGAGGGGAAAGCACATTTATATCCCAAGGATTTCTTTCTGTTTAGAGTTTAGGCAGTGTTGTTTTTTTAATTTATCTTTTCCCTCTTGACAGAGTGAGGTGGTGTTCAGAGTAGGAGGCTGCCATTATGCTCCTTTTTGTCTTGCTCTTTGTTCAGATTGTGTATGCAGACTACAACCCTCAGTTTTCAAAAGCTGCAGTAGAGCTCAACATAGTGTTATAAAAAGGCACTGAGAGGGTTGAAAAAATGGATCTCATTCTTCTGCACCCCCACAATTCTTGTTCTTCTGCATGTATCCAAAGATATGCCTATTGAAAAGAGCAGTGTCCTAGAGGTAGACTAATCTGTGTCTCTGCACAGCAGTATGTTAGATCTGTT